TCCGGCACAAGTGATCCTCCCAGTCATCCTCAGGGGGGGACTCAGGGATGAAGACCCAGTCAGCACCACAGGCCAGGGCAGTGATGAGCGCCAGGTACCTGCAATGGGGGGAAAGAGGTGGTTTGGGGGGGGGGATGTTTACCCCAGTTTTTGATGGGTGCTCTGGGTGGCAGCACAGGGACGTACCCGCAGTGGCGCCCCATCACCTCCAGCACAAAGGTCCGCTGGTGGCTGCGGGAGACACGGGTTTCATCCTTCATCCCACAGACCCATAGGTCTTGGGATGGATTGGACTTGGGATGCGATGGATTGGACCACATTGGAGTCCCCCCTGGCATGGGGGACACAGGGGGGTCCCCATCACCTCTGCGCCGTGGTGGTGATGGCATCCACGATCTCCATGATGCGGTGCAGCGCCGAGTCGGTGCCGATGGTCATGTCGGTGCCGCAGAAGTCGTTGTCAATGGAGCCCACCATGCCCACGATGTTGAGGTAACTTGACTTCTTTGCCTCCTCCACCGTGATCCCTCCTGCAATGTTGGGACACCCCCTTTTCCCTCTGCATCCCCCCTCGAACATCTCCTGGGCCAAACCTCCAAAATGGGAAGAAACCCCCGCATTTTGCGTGTGAAAACTCCATGTTTTGCACATGAAACCTGCACGTTTTGGTCCCAAACCCCCTTTCTCGCCCCACAGAAGCACTTGTGGGGCTCACACACATACCCGTTTTGACCAGCTCATCCAGGAGGCTGCTCCACTCGGCTGCAATGTTGGGACACCCCCTTTTCCCTCTGCATCCCCCCTCGAACATCCCCTGGGCCAAACCTCCAAAATGGGAAGAAACCCCCGCATTTTGCGTGTGAAAACTCCATGTTTTGCACATGAAACCTGCACGTTTTGGTCCCAAACCCCCTTTCTCGCCCCACAGAAGCACTTGTGGGGCTCACACACATACCCGTTTTGACCAGCTCATCCAGGAGGCTGCTCCACTCGGCGCGGAAGGTGTCGGCACCGGTGAGGCTGCCGTCGCCGCCGATGACGCAGAGGTTGGTGATGCCGCGCTTCACCAGGTTCCGGGCGGCTTTGAGGCGTCCCTCGCGCGTGCGGAAATCCTGGCAGCGGGCGCTGCCGATGACTGTGCCCCCCTGCGGGACCCCAGCAGCCCTGCATCCGTCTGCTCATCCCTTCCCACCCCGCTCCCAGCTCCGGTGTGGGTTATGCCAGGCGCCGGGTGGCACCGAGCCGCCTCCACCATCACGCTCACCAGTTGCAGCATCATGGACACGCTCTCCCACGTGGCCTCCTTGATGTTGTCCCCACCGTCCACCAGCCCTTGGTAGCCCTGGGAGGGGGGGCACACACATGGACACGCGCATCCTGGTGTCGGGAACCCCCCCCTTCCAGCTCTTTGGTGCTTTGGGAATAGAGGGGGGGGTCAGCACCAACCTCATGCACAAAGTAGACCTTGGCGCCGGTGTAGATGCCGACCCGCACCACAGCACGGACGGCTGCGTTCATGCCTGGGGGGGGGAACAGGAACAGCGTCACTCTGGGACCCCCCCATCACCCAAGGGACCCCCAAAGTCATCGTACACCCACCTCAGCCCCCCCAAATCGTGTTCCCCCCCCCAGCTCCGGCCCTGCAGCTGCCTGGGTTATTTTTGCCCCAGTGACATTTACCAGCGGTGCCGCATGACACGGGGTGACAGCACCGGGGGGGGGGGAGGGGGGGGGGGGAGAGATAGGGAGAGACCCCCATGGGCTGGAATCCCCCCCACACCTTCCATTGCAGTGCCCCCCCCCACTGAGGCCACTTGGATGGAGGACAAGTTCTGGGCTGAATTATTGCACTTTTGGGAAACCCCAGGATTGGTTTGGTGCCCGAATGCTGCTGATGTCCCTTTAAACTCCATGGGGCACATGCACCCCCCCCTGCACCCCAAAACTCCCCCTTGACTCTCCCCCACGGCTTTGTCCCCTCCAAGGTCACCCCCAAAACCACCACCCAGAGAAAAGCACCCATGCACCAAACCCAGCTCAGGATCCGGCCACCAAAACCCCAATTTCACCCCATTTCTCCCCAAAGCAGGGGCCCAGTCCTGGGTTTTGGGGTGTCCCTTACCCTGCGCGTCCCCCCCGGACGTGAGCACGGCAATGGCTTTGCCGATGCCCATGTTCTCGGCGTGTCCATGTCCATGTCCCGACGGGTTCTGAGCCATCTTCTTGGCTGGAAAAAGAGGGGGATTGGGCAAAACTGAGAGGGTGGAAGGAGCGAGGTGCCCTCGGCTGCGCCCATCGACTGCGCCCACCGCTGGTACCCACCGCTGGTACCCACCGACTGCTCCCCCCGACTGGCACCGGCCCCTACATGGGCCCAGGGGGAGGGACGGACCCGCTGGTGGGGGGGGTGTCCCCTCCCCGGCAAGGGGGGGACGGCCCTGAGGGGACTGGTGTGTCCTTACTGGGGCCAGTCTGTGCTGCTTACTGGGGCCAGTCTGCTTCGTTACTGGTTTTGTTACTGGGCCAGTCTGTCCCCTTATTGGTACTAGTCTGTCTCCTTACTGGTACCAGTCTGTGCTCCTTATTGGTGCCAGTCTGTGCCCCTTACTGGTACCAGTCTGTGCTCCCTACTGGGGCCAGTCTGTCTCCTTACTGGAGCCAGTCTGTTCCATTACTGGTACCAGTCTGTGCTCCTTACTGGGACCAGTCTGTGCTCCTTATTGGTACCAGTCTGTGCACCTTACTGGGGCCAGTCTATGCTCCTTACTGGGGCCAGTCTCTGCACCTTACTGGGGCCAGTCTATGCTCCTTACTGGGGCCAGTCTGTGCTCCCTACTGGGGCCAATCTGTGCTCCCTACTGGGGCCAATCTGCGCTCCTTACTGGGGCCAGTCTGTGCTCCCTACTGGGGCCAATCTGTGCTCCCTACTGGGGCCAGCCTGTGCTCCTTACTGGTTCCAGTCTGTGCCCCTTACTGGTACCAGTCTGTGCCCCTTACTGGGGCCAGTGTATCCTCCTTACTGGGGCCAGTCTATCCTACTTACTGGAGCCAGTCTATCCTACTTACTGGAGCCAGTCTGTGCTCCTTACTGGGGCCAGTCTGTGCTCCTTACTGGTACCAGCCTGTGCCCCTTACTGGGGCCAGTCTATCCTCCTTACTGGAGCCAGTCTGTGCTCCTTAGTGGGGCAAATCTGTGCCCCTTACTAGTTCAAGTCTATATTCCCTGTTGGTATCAGTCTGTATTCCCTGTAATTACTGGTCTGCCCTCCTTACTGGTACCAGACTGCACTCCACACTGGCACCAGTCTACGGGCGTTACTGGTCCCAGTCTATGAGCGTTACCGGCACCAGTCTATGGGCGTTATCGGTCCCAGTCTATGGGCGTTATCGGTCCCAGTCTATGGGTGTTACCGGCACCAGTCTATGGGTGTTACCGGTACCAGTCTATGGGCGTTACTGGTCCCAGTGCCCCCCCTGGGGGTACCGGCGGGCACTGACCTGGCGGGCCCCCCCCCCTCGGGGCGGGCGGGAGGAAGCTGAGGAGGAGGAGGCCGGCGGCGAGGGCCAGGAGCGCCGAGACCAGGAGCCGGGAGGCCTCGGGGGACAGCTCGGGGACGGGGATGGGGACGGCCACCATAGCCCGGCACCGGCACCGGCGGCTGCCGCAACCGGATTGGCTGGGATGGAAGCGGCTGTAACGGGATCGGCTGTAACGGGATCGGCTGGAATGGGATCAGCTGTAGGGACCAGCTATAATGGGATCAGCTGTAACGGGATCGGCTGTAACGGGATCAGCTGTAGGGACCAGCTATAATGGGATCGGCTGTAACGGGATCAGCTGTAGGGATCAGCTATAATGGGATCGGCCGTAATGGGATCGGCTGGAATGGGATCAACTGTAGGGACCAGCTATAACGGGATCAGCTGTAATGGGATCGGCTGGAATGGGATCAGCTGTAGGGACAAGCTATGATGGGATCGGCTGTAACGGGATCAGCTGGAATGGGATCAGCTGTAGGGACCAGCTAGAATGGGATTGGCCTTAATGGGATCGGCTGTAAAGGGATCGGCCGTAATGGGATCGGCTGCAATGGGATCAGCTGGAATGGGATCAGCTGTAAGGACCAGCTATAATGGGATTGGCTGTAATGGGATTGGTTGTCATGGGATCGGCTGTAGCGGCGTTGGCTGGAATGGGATCAGCTGTAGGGACCAGCTGTAATGGGATCAACTGGAATGGGATCGGCTATATCGGGATCAGCTGTAATGGGATCGGTTGTAACAGGATCTGCTGTAGGGATCAAGTATAATGGAACTGGCTGTAATGGAATCAGCTGTCCCATGGGGCTACAGCCTCCCAGAGATGACTCCCATAGGGTGACACCCCTCATAGGATATTCCCCTCCTCGTAGAGTGCCACCCTATAGGGTAACACCCCCATAGGGTGTCACCCCCCCATAGGGTGAAAACGCCCATAGTGGGACACCCCCATAATATGACACACCTCCTATAGTGTGACACCTCCCATAGGGTAACACCCCCATCGGATGACACTCCCCCATAGGGTGACACCCTATAGGGTAACACCCCCATTTTGTGACTCTCCCCCCATAGGGTGACACCCCCCCCATAGGGTGACACCCTATAGGGTAACACCCCCATTGGGTAACGCAGCCCTCCCCACGTGCTTCCACCCCTTGGACCTCCGCACCGCCAGGGGGCGCTCTCCCCACCCGCAGCGCACACGCTCCTCTCCCCTCCCTTCTTCCCCAACCGCCTTCCTCTCCCCTCTCTGGCGTCACTTCCGGCGGCGCCGCGCCCGGTGTCAACTTCCGCTTCCGTCCGCCTCGCTGCCGGCAGCCGCTACCGGGCCCGGGAAGAGCGCGCGCGGCCGTTGGGCACTTCCGCTTCCGGTGGGGCCGGGCCCGGGGCAGCCCCGGAGCCGCCGCTGCCCTGAGGCGCTGCTCGGTTCCCTCCGCTTTCAGACGCGACCCCCAGCGCCTCCCGCCCGGCCCCTCGGATGCCGCCGCGGAGCCCATGAGGATGGAGGCCCGGGAAGCCCGCGCCGGCCCCGGCTCCGCGTTCGAGGCCTTCCTCCTGCCCGCGCGGGCCGCCCCGCGGCTGGAGAGCAAGGTGCGGGTCGACCCCGACGGGGCTGGGAGGGGAGGCGCCTTTGGGTCCCTTTTGCCTCTCCTTTGGGTCCCTTTTGCCTCTCCTTTGGGCCCCTTTTGCCTCTCCTTTGGGCCCCTTTTGCCTCTCCTTTGGGCCCCTTTTGCCTCTCCTTTGGCTCCCTTTTGCCTCTCCTTTGGCTCTCTTTTGCCTCTCCTTTGGGCCCCTTTTGCCTCTCCTTTGGGCCCCTTTTGCCTCTCCTTTGGCTCCCTTTTGCCTCTCCTTTGGCTCCCTTTTGCCTCTCCTTTGGGCCCCTTTTGCCTCTCCTTTGGCTCCCTTTTGCCTCTCCTTTGGCTCCCTTTTGCCTCCCCTTTGGGCCCCTTTTGCCTCCCCTTTGGCTCCCTTTTGCCTCTCCTTTGGCTCCCTTTTGCCTCTCCTTTGGCTCCCTTTTGCCTCTCCTTTGGCTCCCTTTTGCCTCTCCTTTGGCTCCCTTTTGCCTCTCCTTTGGCTCCCTTTTGCCTCTCCTTTGGCTCCCTTTTGCCTCTCCTTTGGCTCCCTTTTGCCTCTCCTTTGGCTCCCTTTTGCCTCTCCTTTGGCTCCCTTTTGCCTCTCCTTTGGCTCCCTTTTGCCTCTCCTTTGGCTCCCTTTTGCCTCTCCTTTGGCTCCCTTTTGCCTCTCCTTTGGCTCCCTTTTGCCTCTCCTTTGGCTCCCTTTTGCTTCTCCTTTGGGTCCCTTGAGGTCCTTTGGGGTGCTGTGAGAGCCCCTTGTTCCTGTGGGCGTGGAACACCCCAACCCCGTGTGGGCTCTGGCTGTGGGTGGATGGATGGGGAGCCCACGCCTGGGTGTGCTCAGCCCTACAGCTTCACAAGTGCAGTCTAGGGCCAGCATCACCGTGATGCTGACTGTGCCTTGCCTTGCAACAGATGAGGTGAAGTTTGCTTTCTCCTCAGTCTCCCCATGGCCAGCAGAGAGGATTTGGAGGGGGGGAATGGGAGAGCCAGGGCTGCTTTGACTGCGTTGTAGCCCAGCACCAGTGATTCCTGATGGATCACAACGTGACCGGGGAGGAGCTGTCCCTGTCTCCTTCCCCTGTGCTTGTCACCCCGGGGGTTCAGGTCGAGCTGGGCTGCTTTAATCAACCCCTGCATCTTCTCCTGCAGTTTTTACCCACCAAGATCAGCGGTTTCACCTGCCCTGCTGGCAACGCCTCCTGTGCCCTCAATTACAGCCCAGGTAAGGCGCTGGTTCCTGCCCTGCAGCAGCAGCTTCTGCCTCTCACCCCCCAAAAAAGCAGCTTGGGGCTCTCCCTTGACCGCTGTGGTTCTCCCCTGCAGAAGTCCCCAGCCCTGAGAGCTACCGGGCACCGGGGGAGCCGCGAGCCTTCGGCCCCAACGCCAGCAACGGGCAGTGGAGGGGGCTGGCCCCGGCGCTGGGCTCCTCCGTGCCGCAGAAGCCGAGGGTGAGCCGAGGCTCTTACCTGGATGCTCGCAAGAGCCCCAGGTACGTGCAGCTCCCTCCAGGTTTAACCCTCCCCACGGAGCGCTGGGGGGGGGTGTTGGATTTTACCCCCGCAGACCTCTGGTATCGATGCAGAGTGAGCTCAGGCTGTGTTCACAGGAGTGTAGGTGGAGGTTGGTTGATGTATTTTGGAGTTTATAACCTCCCTGGGGAAGTCCCAGCTTGGTTTGGGTTGGGAGGGAGCTTAAAGCTCCTCCAGCTCCAGCCGCCTTCCACTGGAGCAGGGTGCTCCAAGCCCCTGTGTCCAACCTGGCCTTGAACACTGCCAGGGATGGGGCAGCCACAGCTTCTCTGGGCACCCTGTGCCAGCGCCTCAGCACCCTCCCAGGGAAGAGCTTCTGCCCCAGAGCTCATCTCAGTCTCCCCTCGGGCAGGTTCAAGCCATTCCATGATCCATGTGTTTTTTCCCAGCCTGGGGGTGGGCAGAAGCAGGGCGAGGGGGGGACCCTGCTGTTCCTGGGTGTCTCCAGGCAGGGTTCAGCCATTTTGTGGTGCGTGGATGGAAGCAGGAGCGGGAGCTGGAGCCGGCGGGAAGGTCTGGCCGGGCTTTGCAGGTTGGGGCTCCTCGGCCTCGCAGTGCCATCTGGTGGCATCCGTGTGGCCGCACAGGCCTCGGGAGCGGTGCAGGATGGAGCCGCGGGAGAGGCAGAGCCGTGAGACGGCTCTTAAACCACCGATTCCTGCGTGCGGTTGGGTTGAGTTGGGTTGGAAAAGGATGAAGTTGGGGGCTGAAAGCCTCCTGGCCTCAACTAAAAGCTGGTGTTTGCCGTCTCCTCGCAGTGGGACAGCCAACAGCTTCGTAGGCAAATCAAACCACCACTGCCATGCGTCCGCTTTCCCCATCAAACCCGCGCAGAGCCCCTCGTGGAGCGGCCCGTGCCGCCGCAGCCTGCTCAGCCCCAAGAAAACCCCGCGGCGGTTCATCAGCACGGCTGAGGAGGTGAGGGGCTGCTCCGTGGGGACGGGGGGGGTTCCTCTTTTGGAACATGAAGCACCTGAGGTGGCTGTGAGTGCTTCTCCTGGGCTGGATTTGCTCCCTGCGCCAGGCAGGTGCTGCCTTCTGCTCTGCCTGTGTGCAGCCTTCAGCTGCGGTTGGTCTGAGCCAGGCTGATGCTCGGACTCTTCAGTACCCCTGGATGTGTTCATGTGCTTCGTGGGGATCACAGTGTCCGTGTTGGAGCTGTGTTGCTGAGACTCTGCTTGTTCCCCTGCAGACTGTGCGAGAGGAAGAGCGGGAGATCTACAGGCAGTTGCTTCAGATGGTCACAGGAAAACAGTTTTCCACGTCCAAGCCCTCTTCACTGTTCCCCTTCCATCTGTGAGTGTCCGGTGCTCTTCCCCAGCCAACAGCACCACGTGCATCCGCTGGGATCTCACTTTCTGTTGTTCCTAGGTCCCGGTGTTCCAATTCCAGCAAACCTGTCGTGAAAGAAGCTCCCAGCCAGAACTCGAAGCTCTTTGAAGCTCACAGCGTTGCACCAGCCACTTCAGCACCCAGCGTCCTCAGAGCACAGGAGCAGGCGTCCCACAAACCATCGCTCTACTCTGCCCCCAGCTACTCCTCCAGCATCTTTGAGTCCAGTAACTCCAGAGCCCAGCAGCAGCAAGAAAACCCACCAGCATCTAGCACGCAGTCTGAAGGTAAAATAACCCCAAGCAAACCCAATATGAAACCTAAAATCGGGCAGTTGGACTTAAATGTATGTGGCAAACCCACTTTTTCCCTCCCCGTCTGTATTTGGACTGGGGAAGTGGACGGTCATGGTGCTGGTAACAATATTCCCTAAACTTTGCTCTTTTTAGGGTCAGACTCTGTCATTTTGCTCAAAGTAAAGGATTCCAGAACCCCAGCACCGAGGTAAGAGGCTGTGGAATGGAGGAAGGGGTCGGTTACATGGAGCTTTTGTAGTTCCATGGAGGTGACAATGCAGAGGGAAGGTGACCAGCTCTGGCTCTAGCAGTGGGGCTGTCCTCAGCTAATACAAACCAGACAACTCCTTTCTCCCCACATGGAGAGCACTTACACCTCTCTTCTTTGCCCCCTTTCCAGCCTCCCGTTCTTCCAGGCAGAACTATGGATCAAAGAACTGTAAGTACATGTTTTCTGCTCCTTTTTCCTGCCATGGAATATCCTACAGGGATAAGGCACTGATGTGTTCACGTGAACTGTGATTTCAGGACCAGCGTCTACGACTCGCGAGCTCGGGAGAGGTGGCGGCAAATAGAGGAGCAGAAAGCCTTGGCCTTGCAGCTGCAGAGCCAGGTAACAGGGGGCAGGTGCTGCAGGAACTGGCTTTGTGGGGCTGGAACTTCAAACCAGAGAACAGAAAGCAAATTGGAAAGGGAACAATGACAAAATTCCACTCCTTCATGGGTCTTTGTTGCTTCCCCTTCCCATGGCAGCGCTCTCAGTAGTGTCACTGCCAGGATAAATGCTTCCTCTCCATGTCCCTGTCTGTATTTCCTGATGGAACTGACCCCATGTAGCTCCCTCTAAAGCCCTGGCGGTGTGACTTCCTTGGACACCACCTTAATCTGAAGGTCTGTCCTCCAGCGGTTGCAGGAACAGGAGCACTCCGTGCAGGATCGGGTGGATTTGAATCTTCGAGTCCCCTTGGAGAAGGAAATCCCTGTCACGGTGGTCCCAGAAGAGAAGGAGGATGCCAAGTCAGCCGATGGTGAAGAGGAGTTCCCTGAAATCACTGAGGTAAGTCCAGGATCTAAATCCAACCATGATTTCCTGCCATCCATGCGCAGGAACAGGGAGCTGTTCCCTTCTGCGTGTACATCTTGTAGCAAGTTTGTCCTCTGAGATGGAACTAAAGCTGGGTTTGGATCCAGCCTTTGTGATGGGAATAGCAGGAGCTCTCCCTTCTGATGCTGTGTCCTCCCTGTAGGAAATGGAAAAGGAAATCAAGAGCGTGTTCCGAGGTGGGAACCAGGACGAGGTCCTCAGTGAAGCTTTCCGGTTAACAATCACTCGGAAAGACATCCAGACCCTCAACAACCTGAACTGGCTCAACGATGAGGTGAGGACCTGCTGAGGTGTTCTTATTCCACTCAGCTGAAGTGAACAAAGGGCTCTGCCCTCTCTGGGCTGAAAGAACTGGGAAGGAATTGCAGCTGAGGGCTGTGATTCCCACTCTGGAGCAGATAACCTGTGGAGAAACAGCTGTATAGATCAAGAAAGCTAATACTGGGAGGAGTGGGACTGCCCATGGGCATGAGCAGGGCCAAAAATCCAAGTAAACCTTCACTATAGAAAGCTGCATCCCTAAATCTTCATGGATTGTGAAGGTTTGAAGGCTGCGGAGCTGTTCCTTCAAGGAACAGCTCTTCAGAGGGCCGGATGGAGGCAAACCCAATTCCTGACCTGGTTTTGCGCCTTATACAGAGGTGTCAACGCTCTGATGTGTCCTGCCTGCTTTTTCTTCCCCAGATAATCAATTTCTACATGAACCTGCTGATGGAGAGGAGCAAGGAGAAGGGGCTGCCAGCCGTTCACGCCTTCAATACTTTCTTCTTCACCAAGTTAAAAACAGCGGGGTACCAGGCGGTGAAGCGGTGGACTAAAAAAGTGGATATCTTCTCTGTGGATCTCCTCCTGGTGCCCATCCATCTGGGAGTGCATTGGTGCCTAGCAGTGAGTGCTGCACTTATTCCCAGTGGGATAGAGCTGGAATTTCTAGTCTTACAAATTCATGTTGGACTGAGGCTAGAACTTCCCGGTTCATGTCAGTGGGTGCAGGGTGTGTGGGGGAAGTTCCGTGTTTGTGGCCAAAATTGAGGTGCAGAGCAAGTAAAAAGATAACTTCTGGGTGTGTTTCCAGTCTCTAAAGGAGGAGCAGGCAGCTGGGGAGGTCACCTTAGGCCAAGTCCTTCTCTGGAGAAGGATCTCATTTCCAGTTCCCACAAACTCACCTTTAGAGACGTTGCCGTGGGATCAGTTCAGAGATGTAGGTGATAGATGCTGAGCACCTTTCCCTCCCTCCTGCCCCTGATCTCCTTCTGTCCCTTGGCTGCTGGCACCTGTGTGGTGACACCTCCCACGTGGCTTTGAAGCTTGGCTCAGCCTCCTTAGCTCAAAGCTCCTCTGAGGGCTGTTGAACTCCCCGCAAGGGCAGCGCTCACATGGATGGGAGGTGGAAATGGGGCCCTCAGAGAGCACTTTGAGGGGACACTTGTGTCTTGAACTGCTTCACTGTGCACACGTCAGGTGGAGCAAAGGCTCTGTAAACCTATCTGAGGCTTGGACAATGAGGATAACGGTGAACAATGAGGGTAACAGAGTGCTCTTGTGTGATGTGAGGAGAGCCTGATGGGGCGATTCAAGTGGTTTCATAACACAGCAGCAAGGGGGGGTGTGGGGAGGGCAGTACCGAGGCTGTTAGAAGCCCTCTGAAATGCCTCTCTGCTATGAAATGCTCTAAACTTAACTTCTTTTTATCAGCAGAGTGTGCCAGCAAAGGGGGGAGCTCCCTGTGCTCTGTGTTGGTAACAAATCTCTCCCTCTCTGTAGGTTGTAGACTTCAGGAAGAAAACCATCACCTACTATGACTCCATGGGTGGAATAAACAGTGAAGCCTGCAGGATCCTGTTGTGAGTAACACTTTGAGTTGGGCCTGTTTAAAAACGGGACAGCCTCTTTGCTCTGGAAGCCACAACCCTTCCGTGGGGACAGTCCCTTTCTGGGTCCTGAAAGGAAGATTCAGAGGAACATCCTGGTTGTCACCACGGTCTGCAGATACAGAGGTGGTCTGTGAGTGTCCTGTGCTGATGTCTTGTCTTCATCTCTTCCCAGAAGATCCCTCAGTGAGGCTGGGGTTACCTTCATGGGTATAGGCAGGTTTCAGACCCTTTCTGTTAAGTACATGAGGCTTTGTCAGTCTTAGAGCGTCATCTTGGGCGTTATCTTTAGAAGGAAAACAGCTTCTCACACCCTGAGGGGTCAGGGTCCTGCCCTTATCCTGCAACCTCTTGAAGAAATGGCACCTCCTGGCTCCTTCCTCCAGGTGGGAGCTTTTCCTGCCTGTGGCAAAGATCCACTCCATAGCTGAGCCCTTTGTTTTGAAGAGGCTCTGGAGAGCACGATGTAGGATGTGGGAATGTCTCTTGCATCAGGCCGTGGATAAAGGCGTGCACGGTCTCTTCTGTACTGAGCTCCAGCAGGGTGTCACACGCTGTGCCATGCCCCCCAAACCAGAGCTGGGTGAAAGCTGTTCTCGTGGCTTCAAACTGCAGAGGAGGTCTTGGTTTTCCCATCCTGAGCGATGCTCCAGGATGGAGCGGAGCTGCCTGCTCTTCGAGGGAGGTGCTGGTGGTTCAGATCCAGAACTGGTTTTCCATGCTTGGAAGCCGCTCCTGAATGGAGTGAGATTAAAACCGAGCTGCTCCTTGGCTCATTGTGAAGGCTCCTGCTCACGTAGGGCCGTCAGGCTTGATACAGATCACACTGAGGAGGGATTTAGGAGCTGCAGTCGCCGGCTCCGTGGCTCCAGCGCTGACCCCGGCTCTGCCGTCGCTTCTGGTTCTCGTCTCCGCTTCGCTTTCATGCTGACTTGGGAATGTGATCCCAGCTCTTCTGGCATGAGGCTGAGTTTGGCAGCAGAGGTGTCACTCATTCAGCTGAGGAATGTGAATAACGAGAAAGAGCAGGCAAATGCCGTTTCCAGTCCATTGAGCACCTTTATCTTCCTGCTCAGGTGCTCTGCAGCCTGCGTGTGCTGGGTTAAGGTAAAGAACTGTAAAGCAGCTGTTTCCCTTTTCCACCCTGCTCTGGGATGTTTGTCTAAAGGGAAAGGAAAAGCCTAAAGGCTTTGGAGATGGCTTGGGGCAGCAATTCTTAGGTTCACTGTGTGGCTCCTGCCATTAGAATGGGGCAGGCAGAGCCCTGGGGCAGGGATGCTCTGGGGAATAATCAGTTCCTTTCAGCCCGAGTTTCTCTGATCGGAGGATGTCCAGTGAAGTGAAGCACCTGAGAGGTCCAAGGAGAGTCAGGGACTCCTTCCCGTGCTTTGTTGAGGGGTCTGACAGAAGGAAGCAGGTCCCCAGCGTGGTGTTAGGGGATATCAGAGCATACAGAGTGTTTCAGCCATGCAGGGCGAGTGGTAGAGAGCCAGGATTTCAGGTCACTGTTGCCCTGGACATAATTGTTTTCCCTCTGTTTCCTTTTAGGAGGCTTTTATTGGTTGAATGCAGTGGGAGGATCACACCGGGAAGAAGGGACGGAGGTCCTATTCATGGTTAGTGACCCTTTCATGCTTTCAATCTTTAGAGCTTCCTAAAGGTGGTGAGTGTTGTCCCGTTGGCCAGACTTTACAGAGGAGGGAAACTGAGGCCCAGGGAAGGCAACTGATTAAATACCAGGGCCCCTGGCCTGGTTAGGGGTGAGTAGGGACCCCACGTGGCCACGCTTTGGTGGCTGCCCTGCTTTGTTTCAGCATCTGGGCTTGGGGGTGAGACCTGGAGAGGATTTTAGGGAAGCTGCCTCTGGTTTTGGGGGTTTCTCTTTGGGAAACACGGTGCTCGGTGGCTCAGCTCTGCTGGAAAGGGCTGTGCTTTGGGGCAGACATAAACCAACCTGTTAAGATTAGTGAAGAACTTGATTCTCTTGCAGGAAGATGGGAGGAGAGCTCAGGGAGCAGAGCTCACAAAGCACCTCATGCCTGCAAAATCTCCTTATCTCCTGCTAGCAGCTGTGGTTGAAGTGCTTCCCTTCACGTGCCCTTTGCTTCAAGGCTCTCAGACATTTAGCAGCCTGCTGTGGAGCTGATTTCAGCAACTCCCTGAGGCACCTGCTCAGGTTTTTGTGTGTGTCTGTGAGCACCGTGGAGGGCCAGAATCCATTTCAGGCGTAGGAAAGCCTGCAGTGATTGCTGGGGCATCTCAGGCATGTTGGGCTTTGATTTGGCATGTAATTCCACTTCAGAATTCCAGGTCAGGCTGCTTCCCCTTGAGGTCCTGACAAAGTTCATCCATTAAGTTCTGCCTCGTGGAGTTGTCTCATGAGTTGAAGTCAAAGCATTTGCTTTCAGCCTCCTCAAAGGGGGTTTAGGCTGTTTCCGAGTCAGGACTGATGCTGTGATCTCATGTTTGCTGATCGCCTTGCCCATTGCTGGAGGCTGCTTTTGGGAAGCCAGAAGGCCCAGGTGATGGGCACAGTTAACATGAGCTGCACACAGTTGGTTATTCCTTCCTCTCCCAGGAAATACTCCAAATTCCCTGTTTGCTCTGCGTGTGTCGGCATCGCAGCTGCGGCTTGTGGGAGCTGCAGGTGAAAGTGGATGTGCTGAAGCCACCAAAGCTCCAGCATCATTTCAGCATCACTGGCTTCTTCCCTGGCTGCCAGACGAGTCTCACGCTTGGATCCTCTCTGCCTCCACTCCATCTGTCCATGTAGAGATATTGCTTGGAGGCTCCTTGTGTGATGCATCCTTGTATTTATCAGCACAGCTTCACTCCCAGTCTCTTATCGTGCAGAACAGAGGGGGCTGGGGGCTGCTGCTCTTTTTTTAGCTGAGGGTTCAAGTGGCTTCTGGAGTAGGCAGTGATTGCCAGGACTTTATTATTACTGCAGTGAGGCTGTTGATACGTTAATGTTTGTAGTGTGGTGCAGATAACTTGCTGCTTTCCTCTGCGCTGGAGGCTCAGCTCGCCCTTATTCTCAACCTGGTGCAAGAAGGTTCTTCCCCACCCATTAGTTTTTATTTGTGGAGATGGGATATGGAGACTTCTGATGCTCAGTAAAACGTTGGTTGGGGTTGGTTGTGGACTGAGATTTACCCCCTGCTGATCTTGTCCAAACTGCAGCCAAGCAGAAGCTTCCCAAGAGCAATTACAGCAGTTGCTGGCAGCCAGCAGACCCTGAGCCGGGATACTGGGAGCATCCAGCTAATGAAGGCTGATAGAAAACGCTTGTCTAGACCTGATCTGCTCTCAGGGGACTGCCAGGAGGAAACTCCCCTCCGTGACACTTCCATATCCAGCAAAACCTGTTTGTTTCTGGCTGTTTTCTAGAGGCACCGTCACTAGGACGGGGCTGGTTTCATGTTCAGGCGCTGCTGGGCTGTTCTGCTGCCACTTCGAGGGCTCTGTTCAGTGGCCTCTGGGTGTTGCAGGGAGTCTTTGGCCCAGAAGAGGTCTTTGAGTAGTTCTTTGGAGTTCTGATAGAGAAACCCCCCTGACTGGCACCAAGGCAGCAAGTTTGAGCCTGCATCTATGGGGCTTGTCTGCAGGTCACATCACCCCTTCTCCCATCGCGTCGCGGCGTTTACTAACAGCAAGATGTGATTTAGCCAAGTCTTTGTGGATCAGATTGCTGAAAGATGGCACATCTCCCCATGCTGGCAGCCAAACCCGCCTCCCTCTCCATGCCAGATGCTCTCTTGACCCCTCCATTCGAGCCAACAGCATCTAATCCCTTGCTTTTTCCTTTCCAAAGCGTTCTGATCGCAGCTGCGAGAGTGAGAAAGCTCCTCGGGCTGTTCTGAGAAGATGCCAAACGTGAAGGAGCTGGTTTCTGTAGACCTTCCTGGTCCTGCTGGTAGCCAGCATGAGCAGAAGGTGCCTGTGAAGCTGCATGTCACTTAACAGCACCAGCAGCCAACAGAGAGGAGCTCCTTTAGGGCCATTAACAACACCTTGGGCCCATCACCTCATCTCCTTGGGCTCCTTCTAGTCCACCTTTGTCTGTGTCCTTCCTGAGCTTCTCTTTCTGCACTTCCCAGTGAGCAGAATAGTTCAGGATGTTCATACCTGCACAGGGAAGAGTGTGGCAGCAGCTTGGGATGGTCTTGGTGGAGTTCCTAAACTTTATCAAGGAGGAAGGAAAAGCCCCACACTTCCCTGTTCTTCCGTGGACTCATTTAGGCCAAACTGGTGGAAGCCTCCTTGTGCAGAGGAGGTGGGGAAGTACCCGTGAGCTTTCCTCATCCTCCAGCTCCAGGGGCTGCAATAGGACTGGCTCTGAGGCCCCTGCTGAAGGCTTGTGCAAGTATTTGACATCCCACCCTGCTCCTTCTCCTGTGTGTGCTCCCAGCTTGACTCAATCCCTGTAAAAGCATCTCAGGACTGTGGCGTGGCTCTTCCCAGGGCTGCCTCCCTCCATCCCCAAGCCTTGCACCTTATTGAGAAAAGCAGGGTCATCTTCTCTGCTTTTCCTCCTTGCAAGCCCTTGCTGTCTGCCCTCTGTGGTGGCAAGAAGTCCTCAAGGAGGAGTGGAAGGGAAATGTGGGAGAAGAGCTCCAGGAGATCATCTGCAGCGAGCTGAACCCCACTGCCAGCCTGGAGAGGAGCATCGTGGGATGCTTTACCCATGGAGTGACTGCTCCAGAGCTGCTGGATGCTGTTAAAGCTCTGACATGTTTGCTCTTGCCTCCCTTTTGTGCTACACAAGACCCTCAGGAGGTACCAGTGTGCAGGGCACCCTCGGAGCTGGAGCCCAGCTCTCCGGTCTCCCATTGCAGGCGCCTGTTGAGGCATCCCTGGGGCTGCTGAGCTTCTCCTTGCCCTGAGTCACCCTGTGATGAATTAGGTTTGTTCTCGCTGGTTTATTTGTGGTTTTGACTCTCTGCTTGGCAGGTACTTGTTTTGGATGAGGGCTGCAGTCCTTCTTGGTCCTGCTTTGCCTGCCTCAAAGCCCAGGTCTGTGGAGCCCTGTTTGAAATGGCCAATACCGAGACGAAAATATTGGACTTCCATATTGCATTAATTCTGCAAACATGGCAGAGGTGTCCTGGGTAAACTGCCACAGAGCCCACTGGCTGCCTTCCCCTCTCCTCGAAGTAAGCATCTCTTTGTTCCCTTATTCCTACAGGCAATACCTAAAACAGGAAAGCCTTGACAAGAAGAGGAAGGAGTTTGACACCAATGGCTGGTCGCTGCTGAGCAAGAAGAGTCAGGTGGGTGCGGGCAGGCAGAGGGTCTCCTGGGCTCTCTGCTGCACCTTTCCCGGCTGGTTTTCCCAATGGATGCGTTCCTGGTGTCCCTCACAAATCCCAGCTCTTCAGTGGCTGCTTTGCTGCAGATCAGCCCCACATGGAAGCAGGGAGCTGGGTGCTCCGGTGCCACCTCGATTCCTGCTGCCCACCCTCTTGTCTTCATCCCCCCTTGCTCACACTGGCCCCATGAGGACTCATTGGAGAGAGGTCCTTCACTTGGAGCCCTTCATCCTTAGGAGCTGGAAAGCGGCTCCTCTGGGAATGACGTTTGGTTTGTGTCCTTTGCCCCCAGGAGATCCCACAGCAGATGAATGGCAGTGACTGTGGGATGTTTGCCTGCAAATACGCCGACTGCATTACCAAAGACAAGCCCATCAACTTCACCCAGGTAAAGCCCATCCCGATGTGTCCCTCATCCTCAGGGAGTGATGGTCCATGTTCTGATGTTCCAAGTGCCCTTTCTTTCCTTCCCTGTGGGTTTCAAGTGCCCCCAGCCCATGTGGGGATCATAGGGGAGCTTCTTGGAGCAGAGGTGACAGAAGGCACTGGGGCAGCTCTTTGCATCATGCGGATGGTTTCTCTCAAGCCATCCTCAGGTCTCCCATGTACTCCAATCCATGGGGCAGGTCACTAATGCCACTGGGGGAAGCTCAGACCCATAATGAACACCACTTACAGCCATAAACACCGAAATTCCCTGGGGAAGTGGGGTGTTGTAGCCCAAATCTTGGGGAATTTCAGTGTTACTTCACGTTGTTGGCCTCCGTGGGGTATCCCATGCATGAATATTTTATTTCTGATGATTAGAGAACATCATCACTTCTGTTATTACCCGGATCTCATCCATTGTCCTGTTTTCCATATATTTTGCCCTAAGAAAAGGCACCACTTCCAAAGCTGCACCCAGGAGAGGGGCTTTGGACAGGGATCTGCAGGGACAGGCCAAGGGGAATGGCTTCAACCTGCCCGAGGGGAGACTGAGATGAGCTCTGGGGCAGAAGCTCTTCCCTGGGAGGGTGCTGAGGCGCTGGCACAGGGTGCCCAGAGAAGCTGTGGCTGCCCCATCCCTGGAAGTGCTCAAGGCCAGGTTGGACACAGGGGCTTGGAGCACCCTGCTCCAGTGGAAGGGGTCCCTGGGGCTGGGTTGGAGCTTTGAGGAGCTTTAAGGTCCCATGCCATGGTTCTAGGGGAGCCTGGTTCGTGCTCCAGACGTGTTGGAGCGGCTGATGTGTGTTCCCTTCTCCCCCCACAGCAACACATGCCGTACTTCCGCAAGCGCATGGCCTGGGAGATCCTCCACCGCAAGCTCCTCTGATGCCCTCGAGCCCAAAGCCGCTTCCCCGTGAGGTTCTCTCCAAGTGCCCTGAGCATGGACCTGCCCTTGGGGCTTCCAAGCCCCCCACGAGCAAGCTCTGCATCCTGCCGTTGATCAGGCGCCATCACAGACCAACCCAAGTGTTCAGAAGCACACTTGCTTTTCCCTTTGCTCTTTTGGGTTTTGTATTTCCAGACCTGTTTTTTTTTGTTTTGTTTTTTTTTTACGAACAGTTTCAGGTGCTGAGACTTTGTGGGGGCAGCTTCAACCATCCAAGGAGCTTTTCATCTTTCCCTTTGGCAGCTCTCGCTGCCAGCTTTGGGCCCACGGTGTGACTCTGGCTGGATTTCAGGGGAGGGGAAGGCACTCGAGGTGGCTCTGGGCTCTTGGTGCGCTGGAGGAGCGCTGAATCGGGTGGGCAAAAGCCTGTTTGGGGGTGGATGTGGAGGGATTTGCTTGTAGAGGGTTGTGGGATTGGTGGGTTCTCTACTCGTGTATCACCTCCCCTCCATCCTCAAAGCCAGGGTTTTCCCACCCATCACCAGCTCTGCCCCTTAGCACCCATCGGATGATAACCTGGTACCTCTGGTGCTTGGGACCTGGTGGTGGGTTTCAGAGGGCTGGGGCAGGTCGGGCATCCCTCAAGGGCAGGACTTGGGGGATCTTTGAAAGCAACTTGGTCAAAGCAGCTTTTGCCGGAGGTGTTTTCCTCCCTGAGGACTTCATCTCCCAGGTCTGGAAGCCTCCAAGTGTTTACAGATATTCAGGTACAAAACTAGAGCCGTTCCCTTGGCTTTGTGCGCGTTGCCAAACGTCCCTGGAGCCGCAGAACCAAGTCTGAGGGTGCTGGGGTCGGGCTGCTTGGGTTCACTTCTCCTCTGCCTTCGCCTCCGCGCAGGAGCTGGGGCTGCAGCAGCCTCCGGCACCTCTGGCCTGGTGCGAGGGCCTCTTGGGATGGGATCTGGGCTCTGTTGGAGCAGGATCTGGGGTGGTGGCGCGGGCTGAATGGCTCCTCTTTCTCTCCATGGTGTTTTGCACATGTTTTGCCCGGGGCTCGAGGCTGATGCACGCCCAGAGGTTGCATTTGAAGGCAAAGCCCCACCGAGTTCGGTTGCGAAGCGCTCCCAAAGGTATCTCCGAGTCCACCCAGGAGCAGGAGCAGGGTGTGGGGGGCCACGAACCACTTGGAAGTGCTTCAGCCCTTCCAAAAAGTGGGATTTTGGGGGGGTGCCCCCCTGCTTGTGCCCATCACTGCCTGGAGCCCCTCGCTCCTCCAGGCCTGGTGCTGGGCTCAGGCTTTCAGCTGGTGCCATGTGGGAGGGAGCGATGCTGAACCTGCTGCTTCCCTGCGCTGTGGAAGGGAGGATGGAGCCAAGGTCCCACTTTTGTACTTTTGTCTCCAAGAGGGAGGATATTTTCTACGTTTTTCTCTACCTGTAACAGTAGTTTTGTACCAAACCTCTCCCTTTTCCCCTTCCCCCATTGCTCCCGCCAGGTTGTGTTCTTTGTAGGCTGGGTTCTGCCCCTTCCCCTCTCCCCTCCGTGTGTTTTATACCGAGTTCTTTTTCTATCTTTGACTGCAAGTAAAGATCTGAAGCGAAAGAGCAGCCCCGGATCTGTTCTCTTCGTGGGTGCCTGGGTAAAAGGAGCTGGATTCCCTGCGCAAGGGGGTGGGAGCAGCGCTTGCATGGAGGAGGCTGCTTGGTGCCAATTCACCACCTGGTTCACATCCATCCCCTTCCAGGCAGCGGTTTCAGCCCAATGGGATGGAGGAGGGAGAGATGCAGTTGAAAGGTCTGTATGGGTGTTATCACCCTTGATCTGCTGCTTGTGGGAGGTGGAACGGGGGCTCTGTCCCTGTAACCTGCTTTAGCGCTTCACCCCCCGCCCCAAGCTGGAGCTTCCAGCCCCACTGCCTCACTCCAGGAGCAGTTCTGGGCCTGAAAGAGCCCCTTACACTGTCCCAGGACAGAATCAACACATCCCTTGTTTGCCTTGGCCTCCAGCTCCCGGCGCAGCCGAGGAGCGAACGGCCCCGTCAAAGGCGGTTTGTGCCTGGGACCCCGGCGAGGCTCCCACCCTCCCTCTGCGGCCACCGGAGCTGCATTGAGCATTGATCCCTCCCCTGCTCCTGGCTTATTAATAGCATCAATCAGCAGGCCCGGGCTGGGGATTTTCAGGTCATATTGACTTCTGCCTCCTTCCTGCATCCTTGTTCCTAGACATGAGCAAGGCCTTCGCCCGCTGCTCCCAAAGAAGCAGTTGTGAGCGGCTCTGACATTCCTCACACACACACACACACACGTGGCTTCTGTAAACACCCTGGTGCTGTCTCCCAGCCCGGCCTCAATGCTCCATTCATCTGCTCCCAAAGCTCTGCCTGGAAGTCGGGAATTGCCTGCCCCGCTCCGTGCGCTGTTAGAGCCCTCAGGGTGGGATTTGCATCTCCCAAGGAGGGGGCTCGTGAGGGGCTTCCCGTTAAATCCTTGGGGAATTGGGGCGGGTAAAGGGCTCGGGAGCTGGTGCTGCTCCGGATGCTGCTGCAGTGGTTTGGAGCAATGCACTGGCCACAGCCTCCATGGCTTATTATGGGAAAGGATCAGGCTTGGGGCTGCTCTTCTGCAGGTGAGGTCGTTCCTCCTGCCCCAGGGACCCGTCTCCATCCTTCCCTCCTGAAGCAAAGGGCAGGACCCAGCCCAAGGGGTCCTTATGAGACCCTCAGTGGTTGTGCCTGGGGTTGAAGCCCAGAGAGGTTTGGGTTCAAAGGGCCTCAAAGCTCCAATCCAGCTCCAGGGACCCCTTCCACTGAAGCAGGGTGCTCCAGGCCCCTGTGTCCAACCTGGCCTTGAGCACTGCCAGGGATGGGGCAGCCACAGCTTCTCTGGGCACCCTGTGCCAGCGCCTCAGCACCCTCACAGGGAAGGGGCTTCTGCCTTATCTCCAACCTGAATTCCCCTGTTAAAGTCTGAACCCATCACCCCTTTTGCTCCAGTCCCTGATGAAGGCCCTTTCCAGCCTCCAGGGAGGAGACACCGGTGGGAGTCCGGATGCATGGACCATGCCTGGGGATCTTCCTCTCCATGGGACCTCCTCACTGGAACCCCCGGGTATCCCAGCACATCCCATCACCCCAGATCCCATCGGCAGAGCACCTGATGATCTTCAAGGTCCCTTCCACCCCATGCTATGATCCCATGCTGCCCCGGGCGCAGACAAGGACACGGGGATGAGCACTGATCCCTCTCCCACCGCTCGGTGCCGCATCCATCGCAGCTGCCGGGAAGGGAAGAAGAAGGGGATAAAAGGCAGCCGTTGGGGACAGCAGTGCCCTTTGTGGCTGCGTGTTGGGATTGGCATCCGCATTGTCGAGGAAGCGCTGCCCAGCCGAGGCCCGGATTTACGGCGTGTGCGGACACAGACGCCCCTTGTGCCAGGGGACCTGGGGGGGGGGCACACACATGGATGTCCCTAGGTCCCAAACCCAGGGCTCGATGCCTACTGTGAGCCTGCAATGGGCTGAGGAGGAGTTTCCATCCGAGCTCCAGGTGATTTTGGGGTCCCCCCCACCCCACTGTGGGGGCTTTGGAGGGGGGGATGCACGCTCTGCTTTGGGTCCAATTCTTGATATTTAGGAACCTGGCAGGGAGGTGATGCCCAAATCCCTCTTTCCCCCCCCATCTTTGCTTTCTTGGGGTGTTGGAATCACTTGGAATCTCCCCCACACACACACACACCCCCCCCATTCCCATGGGCTCTAAATCCCAACCCCATCCACCGGATCCGGCCGGGATGCAGGATCCAGCCCTGCTGCGGGTTGGGATGCGCCGTGACTCAGTTTCCCTCTTGGGGAGGGGCGGGACCACCCCCCCCCCCCCCCCCCCATCTCATCCCTCTGCATCCCTCTTCCCCCCAGGCACCATCGCGGAGCCGTTTGTGGTCCCTAAACCAGCCGAGGCGCGGGGGGGGGGGGGGGGGGGGGGGCTGCACAGTCCAGGTCACTCCTGATTGTAATTGGTGCTAACGACAGCCCCCAGGCAGGGTCCCCCGGGCCCCCCCTCACCCGCTAATCCCTCATTAGCCCTCGCGATCCCGCTGCTTCAGTTCCTCTCCCTTCCCAAGCCGCCCCGAGCCCGGTCTCCGTTCAAGCCGCGGGACCCTCGCTGCAGCCCCGGCCGAAACGGCGCTTTCGGGGGGGGGGGGGGGGGGGTTGGGTGTTTTTTGCCTTGATTTATTTAATTCCTGCTTTTTTCCTCCCCCCCCCCTTGCTTTTTCCAGCATCCTCGTCCCGGCACAAAGCCGCGCTCTGTGCCCCGGCCCCGGCACGCCGCGGGGCAGCGCTCGGGGTGCTGGCTCCCTGCCACCCCAAATAGATGCCTTTGGAGGTGGGGAGAGGGGGGAAACCCGGCATCAAAGGATGCTCAATCCCACGTTATTCCCTTGCTCCTTGCTCCAAAGGGGTGAAATTCCCTCCTGCACCTCCAGGTTCGGAGCTGGAGTGGGTTTGGGGTCCCGGATCCCGAGATAAGGGCTGTGTCCTGACCGTATTTGGGGTGGCTTTTGGGGTCTCCTTGTGGACTTGGGATGGATAGTGGTGGATTTGGGATGGGTAATTTAGCGGTTGGGGTGGATAATGTTGGGTTTGGGAGGGATAATATTGGGTTAATTTGGGGGTTGGGATGGATAAATTTTGGGTTCAAGATGGTTAAATTTGGGTTCAAAATGGATAAATTGGGGTTCAAAATGGATAATTTGGGATCTGGGATGGATAATTTGGGATCTGGAATGCAGAACAGTGGGGCTGTTGCAGCAGGGATGAGCTTTGGGGTTTGTTTAACCTGGGAGGTATTTATAGCCCCTGAAACACCCCCCGCCCCCTCCAGGGATGGATCCTGCCCCATAACCCCACCACCACTGCTTAGCTCTGCCTTTGGGGGTGCTGAAGCCCCCCAAGTGGGGGGGGTGCCATCATCCTGCCTGGTTTAGGGCGCTTGGTTCCGGTGTCGGGGACAGGGATGGGGACAGCAGTGTCAGAGCACCCCTAGCACGCAAATCCCCCCCCGCTTTTGATTTGCACCCCAATAAAGCATCGAGGCCGCATCCCCAATGAGACTCATTAAAATTGCTCTTTTTACCATCCCCTGGCCCAAACTTATGGGATTTGGCCCCAAAATGGAGGGGCAGTGGCTTGATCCGATGGTTTTATCCA